GTGAAGATCTAATACCCATCCTCCTTAAAGTTTTCCAGAGTGGAAGAAGAACGAACACTTCCGTACTCATTCTATGAGGCCAGCATCGCTCTAATACCAAAACCAGGCAAAGAAACCACAAAAAAAGAAAATTATAGACCAATATCCCTGATGAACATAAATGCAAAAATACTCAACAAAATATTAGCAAACCAAATTCAAAAATACATCAAAAAGATCATCCATCATGATCAAGTAGGATTTATTCCAGGGATGCAAGGATGATACAACATTTGAAAATCCATTAACATCATTCACTACATCAACAAAAAGAAGGAACAAAAACCATATAGATGCTGAAAAAGCATTTGAAAAAATTCAACATCCATTCATGATAAAAACTCTCAACAGAATGGGTATAGAAGGCAAGTATCTCAACATAATTAAGGCCCTACCCCTATATGGCAAATGCACAGCCAACATTATACCTAACAGCAAGAAGCTGAAAACTTTTCCTTTAAGACCAGGAACAAGACAAGGATGCCCACCTCCCCACTTCTATTCAACATAGTACTGGAGGTCCTAGCCATGGCAATCAGACAACACAAAGAAATAAAAGGCATCCATATGGGCAAGGAAAAAGTTAAACTGTCTCTGTTTGCAGTTGACATGATATTGTACATAAAAAACCCTAGAGAATCCACTCCAAAACTGCTAGATTTAATATCTGAATTCAGCAAAGTTGCAGGACACAAAATTAATACACAGAAATCTGTGGCTTTCCTATACACTAACAATGAACTAATAGAAAGAGAAATCAGGAAAACAATTTCATTCACAGTTGCATCAAAAAAAAAAATACCTAGGAATAAACCTAACCAAGGAAGTGAAAGACCTATACTCTGAAGACTACAAAACACTCATGAGAGAAATTAAAGAAGAAACCAATAAATGGAAACACATCCTGTGCTCATAGATAGAAAGAATTAATATTGTCAAAATGGCCATCCTGCCTAAAGTAATCTACACATTCAGTGCAATTCCTATCCAAATACTAACAGCATTCTTCAATGAACTAGATCAAATAGTTCTAAAATTCATATGGACCCCCAAGAGACCCCGAATAGCCAAAGGAATTCTGAGAAGAAAGAATAAAGCAGTGGGGATTATGCTCCCCAACTTCAAGCTCTACTACAAAGCCACAGTAATCAAGACAATTTGGTACTGGCACAAGAACAGAGCCATAGACCAATGGAACAGACTAGAGAGCCCTGATATAAAATCTAACCATATATGGTCAATTAATATACAATAAAGAAGCCATGGACATACAATGGGGAAATGACAGCTTCTTCAACAACTGGCGTTGGCAAAGCTGAACAGCTACATGCAAGAGAATGAAACTGAATTATTGTTTAACTGAATAAACAAGAGTAAACTCAAAATGGATCAAAGACCTGAATGTAAGTCATGAAACCATAAAACTCTTAGAAAAAATAACATAGACCAAAATCTCTTGAATATAAGTATGAGCAACTTCTTCCTGAGTGCATCTCCTCAAGCAAGGGAAACAAAAGCAAAAATGAACACATGGGACTACATCAAACTAAAAAGTTTCTGTATGGCAAAGGACACCATCAACAGAACAAAAAGGCATCCTACAGTATGGGGGAATATATTTGTAAATGACATATCTGACAAGAGGTTAACATCCAAAATATATAAAGGACCCACACACTTCAACACCCAAAAAGCAATAACACAATTAAAAAATGGGCAGAGGATATGAAGAGACAATTCTCCAAAGAAGAAATTCAGATGGCCAACAGACACATGAAAAGATACTCCACATCACTAATCATCAGGGAAATGCAAATTAAAACCACAATGAGATATCACCTCACACCAGTAAGGATGGCCAGCATCAAAAAGACTAAGAACAACAAATGCTGGCAAGGAATTTACCCAAAGAATACAACTTCTCAGACTCAAAAAGACATATGCCCCCCTATATTTATTGCAGCACTATTTACAATAGCCAAGATATGGAAGCAACCTAAGTGTTCATCAGTAGATGAATGGATAAAGAAGATATGGTACATATACAGAATGGAATACTATTCAGCCATAAGAAAGAAAGAAATCCTACCATTTGCAACAACATGGATGGAAGTGGAGGATATTATGCTCAGCGAAATAAGCCAGATGGTGAAAGAAAAATTGCCAAATGATTTCCCTCATTTGTGGAGTATAACAACAAAGCAAAACTGAAGGAATAAAATGGCAGCAGACTCGGAGAGTCCAAGAATGAACTAGTGGTTACCAAAGGGGAGGAGTGTAGGAGGGCGGGTTGGGAGGGAGGGAGATGGGGATTGAGGGGTATTATGTTTAGTACACATGGTGTGGGGGGTCACGGGGAAAACAGTGTAGCACAGAGAAGGCTAACAGTGAATGTGTGGCATCTTACTACACCGATGGACAGTGACTGCATTGGGATATGGGTGGGGACTTGATAATATGGGTAAATGTAGTAACCACATTGTTTTTTCATGTGAAACCCTCATATAAGTGTATATCAATAATACCTTAATAAAAAATTAGATAAAGAAAAAGTAAAAAGTAACCGACAAATACATGGAAATCATTCTAATATCAGATTACTCAGCAACAACAACTGCTGGAAAATAATAGGGTGATATGTGCCATTCCATGAAACCATCATTTTTAACTGAGAATCTTCTACTCAGCCAAATTACCATCAAATGTGAGGATAAATAAAAGCATTCTCAGATACATAGTGTTTACCTCCTATACACCTTCTTACAGAGACACAGAAAGTATTTCATCAAAATAAGGGAATGATCCAAGAAAGAAAAAGATGTGTAATCTAGGGAACAAAGAGAGCATTAACCCAGTAAAGAAATAAAGGAAATTTTCAAGTTAATAGTTGGGGAAAGGCCTGTGGGAAAATAGTCAAAATTGGAAAATACGGGCTTCCAGAAGGAAGGAGTTGGGTGGGGAGAAAGTATCTTGAAGGTTTGATACTATGATTTAAGGAATACAAACTTAAAGCAGGAAACAGACTGGCAACCTAAGAAATGAAAGGCACAGTACTATGGACCCTTCTTGAAACAACTATTTGACAACAGAACCCAACCAGTCAAAAAATGAATCAAAATAAAAAATTCAAGAAAAGATAAATTGAATAAAATGGCTGCATTAAGGACCATTAAACCATTTTATATATAAAATTAAGATTAAATATTTACAATAAATTAAGGGCATTGAACCGAATGGAAATAAAATATACTTTGATAATACAAAAATAACAAAACCACTATTTTTAATGAGGTAAAAGAAGGTGGAAAGAAGAGAACTAATTTCATTTTAAAACAAAAGTGGCATGTCAATCCATACTGTCTACAATTGAAACAAAGAATTTTTTAAAAACAAAAACTTAACCATTTCATTTTTTCTTATGTAATTTTCCTTAGTGTTAAAGGAATTTTTAGCAATCACTATCTTTTGTAATCAAATAATATCTGACATTCAACAATTCCTTTCTTTTTCTTCTCCGAAATACAGGTAAAATAAATTTAAAATTTATGTTAAAAGCAGCACATATAGTAGGATTCCAGTTTTATAATACTCCTGTTTGTCTTTTCTATATGTATATCCATCCAGAGACCATGATATCTGGAATATTTACCATCATGACAGCCACTTCTATGGTCAACAGTGGATACTTTTGGGAGAGAATATCTTATATACTTAATTTAATAAACTTCTGTTTTAGTATCTTAAACTTACGAGTTACTTTTAAAATCAGAGTTTATCTAGGTGAAATAATTATGGCCCTCATTCTTCTTCTTTTCATTGCTCCGTAATATTTTTTAATAGCTAATATAAATAACATGTATATATAACCCTGTGAGACAAATATTATGACAATAATATCAAATACTAACATTTGAGTGGAACTATAACCTCACTAATGTCCTTAGAACTGTGTAAGAACTCTGTGAGATAATTAGTTCACTTGTCACCAGTTTTCAGAACAGGCTCAGTGCTGATAAGCAGGATCTGAACCCGGGGCTAGATACCTTTTAATATATTATTCCTCTGCAGTCAGTGCTAGATTTTTTTATATTTCCTGATGTTGCCCTTCATTAAAAACAAACAAACAAGCATACAAAAAAAAAAAAAAAACTGCTGCCATCTAGATTAGACATGAGTAAACAGGTCAGAAATATTCTGAAAAAATACTTTCGAACAGCAGAGTGAAGTTTCATTTTTATTTTTCAGAGGAGAAACAACCTTCTCTTCCACTGTATAGTGTAAATATTATCTATTCTTGGACCCTCTTTCACACAACAGATTGCCATGTGATGGAACTTTGCTAAAGTTTTTGAAGTTTCCTTGAGCTGGTTGCAACTTAATTTTTAACAACCACTATGCATTGGTTGCAAGGTGGTGTAAAATATTACTTACAGTGTAAAATGTATCATTCTGTGACAACTTAATCCTTACTGACAACTTAATCCTCACTTTGAAAAGCTGTAAACTGCACATTTTATATTCTTTCTAGAACATTCCTCTTGGTCACATTTCTTCGAGTCACTTTCAATTTTAACTTCATGAGCGAAATCTCAAAAAGAAACGTCAGCCAGGACGTGTTTTGTTCGTGAACATCCGCAAATAACCTTTGCTAGGCAAACCTCAGAAGTCCCTTTGGAAACTGTGTTTCTGAGGAAGGAAAAAGTGGGCGGGGGAACAAGCCCTTCCTCTCCTGCCGTAGAGTTTTCAAATGAGGAGAAGGGAGTAAAGATTCCGGCTGTAGAGTCCTGAATATCAATTACCGGACAAGTACCGAGAAGGACTGGAGGAAGGAGAAGGTGCCGGGCAGCTTTAGACAGAGTAGAGATGGAATCAGGGGAGGAAATAAGAGAGAGAAAAGGTTGCGGTATTCCTGCCAAACAGAAAACGCCCCCCACAGATCCCACCTTCCCCGCCTTCTTCACCTGATCTTCCAGTATCTTGTTCTCCTCGTTAGCCACCGGGATGGCAAACCCATCCTCCCAATGTAGCTCCGCCAGGAATTCGCTAGTCATGATGGCCAACGGTTAGGGAACCTCAGACAGGGTTCAGGGAAAAGATTCGCCTTCTCGGTTTCACGTTTGGCCCGTGAGCAGCATCGGAGGCCACCCGAGTTGTCGCTAAACCTCCCAGGTATGTGCCACCAGAGCCATAGCAACCGTTTCGCGCCCTTAGTTACCAAACAGGAAGCGCTGTAACCCGGAGGCAAAACTTCCGGTTGTGAATTTCCTTTCCTGCGGGGAATTCGCTGGGGTTGCCAGGCGCAGGCGTAATTTCTTTCGGAGTGCGGCTCGGGGTCGTCCCCGGGCGCTCCCCGAGGGTGCGAAGTCTGTGGCGCCTGCAGTGTACCGGGATCACAGGCTCCCGGAATGGCACTGCCCTGCGCAAAGGCCCTGTCGCCTGCGGAAGAGGAGAGTTAACGAAGGGTATAGAGGGATTCCTTTTCAAGCTCTGTTTGTTGAGCTTCATCCTTAGATAAAATCTCGCAGGCTGAAAGAAACTTGTTTTGAAGCAGAACTCATTCCCTGGAATCTGTTGGATGTTTCGATCTTCGCCTGTTTTAATTTTCTGGTCGTCCTGACTGTGCTCATCTGCCCCGCTGCAGCGTCCTACCTGGCCGCACGCGAGGATCGCGCAGAGACAGACAGCGGGCTTGTATCGCAGAGTTTGGTGGTCGGTCCCGAGCCACTCCTACACCTTTATTTTTCTTTACATTTTCATTTGTTAACATTTACTAACCTTTCATTTCACATAAAAATCTGTATTTCTACCTAATCTGGAAAAAGGCTGGGAAACCCTGAGCCCACTTTATCAAAAAGCATCATTTGGCTCAAGAGGCGCCCCTTTTAGGCTGGCAAGCGCTTACGGGTTCATTAATTTGATTTACCTGCTTGGCATTGGCGTCCATTTGAGTTTATGGCCTCAGAACAGTAGACGACAAAACAATCAACCAATCTAATCCTTTCATTTTCTAAGTAAACAAACTGAGGCTAAACTAGGCTACAGGTCTCCCTGTTTCAAACCATGCTCTCTGAAATTAGGGGTGTTCTTGGCTGGAATACCCAATACCGCTGCATCGTGAGCATCAATAACTTTTTTGCTAATTCAATAAACAACTACATGTACATTTTTCCCTTTTGAATTTTATCTTATTTGTACTTTATCTTTTTATTATAAGAAGTTTGTAAATAAGAATAGAGAGCAGGGTATAATGAAACCCCATACTCATCACCTTGATTTAGCTTTCATACTATGCCATTTAGCTCCATCTATATGTTTTGCTGAAGGGCACTGAAGTAAATCACAGACATCATTTCACCATAATTTATTGGGCATGCATAATTAATATTTGAAGTTTAATGTTTTTTAACATAAACACAGTATCACATCTAAATTAAAAATAACAAAATTCTTCAATATCATCTAATAACCATTTCATATTCTTGCTTCCTCAAATGTCCTGAAATTTTCTTTCTTTTTTTTTTTTACCATTGGTTTGTTACTATACTTTTGAAATCCTCTTGTAGTAGCTTTGTCTCTTTGTGCTAACATGGTTTATATTTAATCTTAGGGACTTAGACATACTGTCTTCAAAAGACTAGAATTAGTAAGGCATTTTATTCCCCACTTCTCCAATGCCTAAATCTCCATGGTGGTGGGGAGAAAGACTTCGGTTAAGAGGATATTTTGATCTGTATGGAATAATGAAATTTTAGAGACTAAATAACCTTAGAGATCTTTATTTTATGATAGCTTGGTCATTCCTACTAATGAAAATGTTAGTTTTCAGCATATATTAAGAAGGCATTTATACTTAAGGTTTGTATGGCATTGTTGCTTTTAAAAATTATTAGTGTTGTTGCTGTCAGTGTGTCTTCAACACTCCCTGTCTAATTTCTCATCCCAGCCTTTAGTGTGAATACTGAGGCAGCTGCCTTGGCCTGTGCCCATCTGTTGATCCACTGCTCCCAGTGTCAGCTGTAGCTGCCAAATGCATGCCTGCAGCTGTCTTTGCAGGGTACTCCCCTAGGCCCCAAGGACATAAGTCTGACAGACAAATCCCGGCAAAAAGTTCCATATTCCTAAATAAAATGTCCATGCATCTCCAAATTCTACATTTCTGGCTTAAAATGATAGCCCTGCTCCTCCACAGAATTCCATATCATCCAGTTCCCACTTTTTATAACTCTACAACTTCTATATCATAACTCTATTGGTAGTCATTCAGATCTAGATTTGGAAACAAAACCCAAAGTTTTACAAGCCTTGTCACTGACCATGAAATACTCAACTTAATCTAAAAATGCTGAGATAGATGTCACCCTTTTTACTATCTCATTCCCAAATAGATAACTTCATCCAAACAGGCTGTTCAGGCTAAAATATGGAGAGATTTTTTGTTGTTGTTTTGCAAAAATAATGTTATCTTTGTAAAAAAAATTATAAAAACACATGTGTATGAAGGAAAAGGAAAAGATATCCTTCATCTCCATGCTAATATTCCAAAAAGGTTGCCACTGATATTTTTAATGAAGTTATAGATATATGCATATATTAATCTTTTTCTTTATAAATAGAATCATATTATAAACACTTCACAGATTCATTTTTTTCACTTAATAGTAATAGTCATGTTTCCATATCAGTACATTAGATTTTTGGTCTTTTAATGGCAGCTTAAAATTCAGTTTTCAATCAATTAAAAATTTTTAAACAATGCTGCAGTGAACTTCTTTATACTGTCTTCTAGGGTATACAGACATCAATTCTAAGGTATACTTATTTTCACATTTTAATATCTGTGAAATTGGGATGCATCTTTCAGTCAATAGTGTCTTAGGTTTGGTAAATGAGATGTAATCTTGTACACCTAAGTGTTTCTGCAAGCCATGTTTGTAGAAGTAAAATTAATGGAAAACCAGTATAAGCAGCTTTAGTTCGATAGATACCACTACATTGTCTTTCAAACGTCTTTACATACCAACAGAGTAAGGCAGTTACTCTGGAAATTATGAACTATTTTGATATTTTACAACTGAAAGAGAAAAATATGGTATCTCTTTATTTATTGACAATTCTATAATTATGAGTAAGATTGAGCATCACCTTTCTTCTGCTAAGAACTTTTTAATCATATCCTTTGCCCATTTCTTTCCAATTAAGTTGTCTTTTATCAAATTATAGGATTTCAATTATAGCTTGTTATATTATAGATAGTATTCTTTGTATGTGTTTGTGTGTGCGTGTGTATATGAATATTTTTCTCCCAAACTGTTACTTGATTTTTTTAACTTTGCTTTTAGTATATTTTGCAAACACATCTCAGAAGCTGCTTTTGTTACTATTAATATGTTTCACATTCCAACATATATGTTCATCATCAATTTACACAATCCATGGGCTGCATTCAACTCAGCTTTTCCTTCCCTATTATAACATTTCCTTCTCTTGGCTTTTATGACTCTTTCTCTGTCAGTTTCCCATTAACCTTCACAATCTCTTCTGCAGCTTTATCTTGTCCTGTTGGCCTCTTACTATTGGTATTCCTCAAGATGCAAAGTGGCCCCTCTACTCTTCCCTTCTTTCTACACTTGCTTCCTAGGCGATCATATCCATTTTCATGGCCTTAAATACCATGGCTGGTATTTTTTTAATGGCTCCCATTAATATTTCTCTAGCCCAGATATCTCTTCCACACTACAAACAAATCCAACTGCCTGCCAGACAGTTCCACTGAGATGTCTCCTAGATACCTCAAATCGGATACGCAAGTCCAAGACTGAATTCTTGATTTCAGCCCACACATACTCCAAACCTCTTTCTCAGTCTTCCCTACCAGTGTAGAATCACTAACATACATCCAGCTGTACAAAACCAAATCCTGGCTGTCATTACTGATTCCTTCCTCTTCCTCACCTCCCCGCTTACATATATCACTATTACATCTCACTTTTACACCCTCCAATCTATACTGACTCTCCTCTCCATTCTCTACTGCCACCACTCCAAGCCGTTATCATCTCTCATTGCACTACTGCAACTGCCTCAAGTCTCCCCACCTGTTCTCCTAAAATCCATCCTCCATCAACAGTTAAGGTTACCTTTTATTCCCAATATCTAATATTGAAATGTTTCCCACATACAGAGAAGTTGAAATAACTTTACAGTGAGCACCAATATCCCTTTAATCTAGACCCTGCCCCTAACATTTGGCTGTTCTGTGCTATCACATCTACTTACTCATCAATCCATCTTATTTGTTGATGCATTTCAAAATAAATTGCAGAAATCGATACACTTCTCCCTGAATACTTCACCATACATATGTTTACTTTTGTTCTTTCCTCTGTAGGTAAAAATTACATGCAAAGAAATACACAAATCTTGAGTTTTGACAAATGTCTACAACTAGTTACCCTAAACTACTCTCGAGACGTAGAACATTACCTCACCACGAGCCCAAAAAGTTCCTGCATGCCTCTTTTGAATCAATCCCTGCTCTGGCCTCCCTGAACCCCCAGAGATATTTTCTCTATCCTAAATTAGATTTCTCTCTCTTAAAACTTCAAATAAAAGGAAAGGTGCTCTAATGTGCTACTTTACAATTTATTGCCTCTCAGCTCCAAATTCACCCATTTTTGCCTCCTTTTTAAAAACAGATATAGATCCTTTACACTTGAAAAATGTTTGATCGTTGGCACAACATCAAAGAACTTTATCAATGGCACAGGAGAAAACATTGCAGGAGTAAAAAATTTTTTCTTCCCTGTTGCCGTGTGCTCCTGGCCAGCTCCTGCAGCAGGCCCAGCTTCTCCGGCCGCCAGGTTCTCCAGCCTCACCCTCCTGTAGGGTTGCTGCTTCTCTCGTTTCCAGCTCCCGGAGGGCACAGCAGCTCTCCTTAGCACCCACCTGCACCCCAGCTTGAGCAGTTTTGCAGCAGAGTGTCTCTGAGTTATCTCTGCGTCAATGTATTTCCCTAGCACCACAGAGAACAGATTTCCAGCAAGCTTACAATGACTTCTCCCCTGTTCAGTGAGCCCTGAGGGGTAGGGGAAGGGGCTCTGCCTTGGGTGCTCTATCTCAGCTTTAAGGATAGTGACTGCTACTTGTTACTCCAGTCCTATATGATAGCTGTCAATTCTTCATATTAA